TAAGAAGAATATATGCCGTGTATTATTTGTTGAAACTGTACTTCCGATTTGATTTGAAACTGTCTCATTGCTATCTGTTTATCAATAAAACTTTGGAAAAAAGATCAGGTTTCCAAAATTCAAATCCCCAATCCAAAACTGGGCATCTGAGATGAATATACACTTCACAATGAAGAGATACAAATGGCAAATAAATATATGAAAAAAATGTTCAACATCATTGGTCATTCAAGAGATGTAAATTAAAACAACACTGAGATTCAATCTTATGCCAGAAAGAATGGCTATCATCAAGCAACCAATAACAAATGCTGGAGAGGCTGTGGGGAAAAAGGAACTTTCTCCGTTGTTGGTGGGAGTGCAGACTGGTACAACCATTATGGAAGTCTGTGCGGAGATTCCTTAAAAAGCTAGGACTAGAGGTCCCATGCAAGCCAGCTATTCCCCTCCTAGGTATTTTTCCAAAAGAACCGAAATCATCATGCCACAGCAATATGTGTGCACCCATGTTTATAGCAGTGCAATTTGTCATAGGTAAATCTTGGAAACAATCCAAATGTCCATCAACTGAGGAATGGATAAAAAAGATATGGTAGTTTTACACCATGGAGTATTACTCAGCTATAGAAAAAGATAAATTCAAGGCTTGTGTAGATAAATGGATACAAGAAAAGATCCTATTGGTAAGTGAAATAAATCAGACCCACATGTGCAAACATCATATTGTCTCACTAGTATGAGAACCTGAAAGAGTAAATAAAATCTGAAAGACACAATATGTAGTGAGAGGGAAAGAATTTGTTCAATGGGAAGGAAAAACTGGGATGAGGAAAAGGACTGAAGAAAAAAGGGGAAAAAATATATATGGTAATTGGATGTTTGTACTGCTGATTTCTGCTAGTCCTTGGAAAGGAACAGTTAATGCTTAAAGATTTCTATTTTTTAATTTCTTATAACTTTTTTAAACCAATTTTGCATGTTTATATCTGGTAACCTAAACAACTAATTTGAAGATAACATCATGCAATACAGCAACCATTGTTGAATTCCTGTTACTTTGTTTAGTGAAATTTTGTATCATTTCTAACAGTGTTTTTTTATTACTACTTTATATTCTTTAAAAAAATAAAATCCATGGTCCTATTTAATCATTTCCTTGTCTTTCCTTAAATGATCAACTCTTTGAAGTATTAATGTTCATTATTTGATTAGGCCTCTTAGGAGAGATTCTAGTGGGAAAACAGACTGTAAATATAGAAGTCTTTCTAAATATCATCCCAGATCATTACATCAGTGCAAAAGCTGAGCTGTTTCCACAGGTGCACTGTGGTCTTAGTTTCCCAAATAAACAACTTGTAGAGTGCACAAATCAGTAGCGCAGCAGGCCAAACATTTCATAAAGGTTGATTTCACTTTTGGTCATCATTTCAGTGTGAAGAGATCAAGAGGAGAAAAAGTGAGAGAAGTTCAAAGCTGGTAGATGATGGGACCCTGTCACCCTGATGACTCAGTTCTCCCTGCTGAAGTGGGAAAGGCAGAAAAAGCTATCATCTGTCACAACCGTGGAGGAGGCACTGAGGTGCTCCTCCCTACTTCCCAGCTTCCCGTGGCCTTGCAGAAGGGCCCCTGATCAGAAAACAAAACATCAAGAAGAAGGTGTGACCAAATCAACCAACAAGAGAAAAAGTTGAAAAACAAAAGAAAAGTTGGGGAAGGTGGTGCTGGAGCACAGTTCAGTGGGAGAGTTCATTCTGAGCATGCGTCTAGCCCTAGATCTAGCTGCCAGAACCAAGATGTTTAGAAAGCTCTATGCCAGGCATGATGGTACACCCGTATGATCCCAGCCCTTTGGAGGCTGAGGTAAGGGGATCTTCATGAGTTCGAGGCCAGTTTAGGTTACATAAGTGAGTTCAAGGCCAGCCTGCACTGCATAGTAAGACTTGATCTCAAAAATAAATAAATAAATAAATAAATAAATAAACAAACAAATAAATAACTCATAAAATAGGGCTGGAGAGATAGCTCAATGGTCTAAGCACCTGCCTGGCAAGCAAAAGGACCTGGGTTCGATCTATGGTACTATGCACCATACTGGGCACCAGACCTAGCATGGTGACACATGCTTGTAATCTCAGCACTAGGGAGGTGGGGAAGCTGAGACAGGAGAATCACTACAAGTCTGAGCTGAGTAGTGAGACCCTGTACCAAATAATTAATCAATTAAAAATAAATTAATTTTTAAAATAGAACAAAGTAAATAAGAATGTTCTGGAGGCAAATAATGAGTATAATGAACACATAGATAGCCCTAGTCATTCCCAAGTTGGGATGTACAGCTACAAGAGAACAGAGAAAAGTTTTGTGCTCATAATTTACAGAGAAGCTACTATTTAAAGTGTCTAGTGATAGAGTCAACAAGACTGCAGCTGCAGGGAGACACTGGACAGCTCCACCCTAGCAGCGCAGGACTTCGGCCCAGGAGGCACCGCTCTTCCCCTAAATGGCTGCAGACACCAGCATATAACCAGACTCTACCTTGTAAAGCACTTTACTCCTGCTGTCTGTGAGGTCGAGTCGGATGGAGACATAATCAACATTGGGAGAAGGGGGCTGCATGTGTTGGTAGCGCAGCCCCATCATCAGGAACTCCTCGCAGCTCACTTGGAGGCTTCCTATTTTCTTCAGTCCCAGGGTACAGCTGCTGCCTGGACACTTCCGCTCTGTTCCCAGGTCTAGAATGCACAGCGGTGCGTTAGGGTTGCCATCTAAGCACAGTTATTGTAAAAGTTAAACAAAAGGCTTCTTTACCGGGGGACTACTTTCTCTCGCTGTCCAAGCGCATGGTCGTGCACCTCCTTACCACACACAGAACAGGCTGTCATTATGTTGACAGCGGACAACTTCCTTTACTAAAGAGAACAGTTTCCTAGTCGTCTCTGCAAGCCTTACTACTAAAACTTTGAGATAAAAGATAATAAAATGTGTTTTCTGGTCTGTGAACATCTCTGTTCACAGACAAATGGGACAATGTCTCACTGTAGCACTCCCCCCTCCAGTCTTCGCTTTAGTGCATCAGCCCAATGGCTCCATCACACAATGTCCCCTAAGACATCGACTCTTCATTCAGAGTAGAAATGTGCTCAAACATACTCAAATCCTGTGTAGTCTTCTAGATCCAATGAGTCTCTTGCTAAACTATTTCTGAAAATGCTGTCACCACACCAGCCAACCTTGTCTCACTGAAAACTTTAATTACGTTTCCAGGTGTCTGCATGTGCCTGCCCCCTCGGATTTCTCACTCTTGTTGGGATCTATGATACTCATAGGTCACTTATTTTTTCAGTCTCCCTACCGTGATGTACAAATCAGATGATCTGTTTCTAAACCAGGTGGTTATAAAGATCCAATGAAATCACTTTGTTCAAGCAGCCCTTCAGCTGGAAACCTCTTTCCAACTTCAAGCCTTTATTTATAGCATAACAATTCCTTACATTTCTTGACACACTTCCTCTGATGTGTATAGGAAGTGCCTAAAATACACCGGCTGAATGAACAACAAAAGGAACGTTTTCTGCCAAAACTCTCCTTAAATTAAACCATGGCTGCTACCAATCAGTTCCACTTCACACTAGACCATAATCCAATAATACTTAAGAAAATATAAACTCCCCTTACTACTGATGCCATTGCTATTAGCAACAGCTGGCAACCTATTGGTACCTACTCTGAGTCAGAAACTGTATTGTGCTGTGTGTGTGTGTGTGTGTGTGTGTGTGTGTGTGATTTCATTTACTCTCAGGTTGTATACAGCCCTCTGAAGCAGCAATCATCTTCTCCCAACTTACAGTGGCTCATAGTGGTTTCTAACTAAAACAACACAGGAAATAAATGGCAGAAGTTATTTTCAAATCAAGGTCCTTCCAAAGTTTAGGCTCTTGACCACTAACCTATACCATTCATTCGTGGAACCCTTTGTCATGGTAGATGACTACCTACAGTTATTCTGGTCGGCATTAGTAACCTGCTGAACAGTAGTAAGGATAACATACGGGACTCAGGAAAGAAACTGTGTGGCTGATCTCCACGAGGCCCTTCTGGTCGAGGCTCTACCACAACCACCTGGCCATGAGCTGGCAGGTGAGTGCTCACAGGGTCCAGCTGCACTGTACACTCCAGGCTAGTTGTCCTGTCATAATCAAATTGGAGCAGGTTCTTATCGATGGCTCCGGAGAGGCCATAGAACTCCGACACCTCCAGCGCAGGGCTCCTCATGCGGATGATGTTACAGTCTGGTTCCAGGAGGTAGATCCGCAGCAGAAAGGTCTCCGTGAAGGTGTCTGTCTCAGTAAATCTGTGCACAGAATGAAGCAAAGGCAACACAGACAGATGCTCAGACCCTTCTGCACCTGGTGCACTGCCCCTCAAGCTAGAAGACAGGCCTTCCCCAAATGTGCATGCAAGCTGGAGCCCGGACTTTGTTTCACGCTCTGCTCTCAGACCCTCTATGTGCGGCTCTTCCTCTCTGCTCCTGAGACTCAGAGCCTTTTCCTGCCCCTTCCCCTCTGCTCATCTTTCTTCCAGCACCTGCCTTCCACTCAGCATCCGCACTGCTAGTGACTGCCGAGATCTCAGCGCCTGGCTTCCAGCACACACGTAATTTAAGAACACCAAGCCTGTGTGATCTGTGCCTATGAAGGGTTCTGAAGTATTGCGTGAAGTATTATGGCCTTTCTGTTTTTCAGAAACTCTGTATAAATAGTTTAATCTTTCAGCTACTGTGGGTGCTCAACTTAGACCTCGCCTTGTGACACGGTTCAGCAGTTGTTGCTGTTGACTGTTCTGAGCACTGGGTGTGCTCTCTTCTCTGTATTTGGAGGCACTAGTGGAAGTGAGGTTTTCTTTTTTCTTTTTGTGTGTGTATTTGGTACAGGGTCTCATTATGCAGCTTGGACTCATGGTGATCCTCCTGTCTCAGCCTCCCCAGCACTGGGATTACAGGTGTGCGCCACCATGCCCAGACTCAGTTGCCAGCTCAGCATGCTCTGGTGCAACATGCAGGACCAGGGATCGAACCCTGGTGTCTGAGCTTGCCAAAGCCAGTGATTAGTCTACTGAGCTATCTCCCCGACCCTCTGAGTTATTTTAAAAACTCAGTAATGAGTTTGCCTTAATAATGCAATCTCTAATAGATATGTTTTTATTATGGTCCAGGCATTATGCTGAACGCAACAACAGAATCTTTTCTGAGCCTTACAAGAATCTATAGGTGGCATCCTCAATTTCACTTTGCAGATGAGGAAACCAAAGCCCAATACCTTGCAAAAATGGCTACAAAAGGGACAGGAGGGAAATAAGCATGCTCCCTGGCCATTGGCCTCCAGTGCCTCTGAATATTCTAATGTACTGTCCTCAAAGCTAAGAGCAGCCAGGCTTGTCTCACCCTGCCTTCCATGTATACTTTTCAAGCTTTCCTGCCCCTACAATTTCAGGAAAGGAGTGGGACCAACTAGAATTCTTTAGCTTAACAGACTTTTCTGGCAAGCTCTTTGAAGTCAGTTTGCTTTCTTAACTCTAGAGTTTTGAAAAGATCAAATAGCCCTGTCTGTCTATTTCAACTTCATAGCTTTCTGAGGCATCCTGGCTTAGAAAGGAATGCCACTTGGTTTTCTGTGCTTTTCTTTTGGCACTTGGAGCTCTGCTTCCTAATTATCTGCCCCTCTTTTTGCCTTGGATCGTGAGCACCAAGAATCTGCATGTCCTTCTTGAGTTCCTTATGCCCAACACTGATCGTTATCTATGGTGGTGGTCGTAGATGTTTATAAAAAGAGTCACTGTCAATGTCTTCTTCAAACATATTTTGCCTTAGTTCGTGCTTAAAGGAAATCCACACGTTAACCAAATATGCTCAAGAGCAATAAAAGACACATAAAATCTACGTAAAGGCCTATTCCTTTGAGTTTTCAGTTGTTTCAATTAAATCAGTAATACTATAATTATAACCCCAAAATTAAATTATTGAGATATCCAATGCTGTGAAATGTGTTCCTTTGCTGTATAACTGAAGCTTTCGGTGTACTCATAAGGTTACTCACCCATCATGACTCTATGATTTCAGAGAATTTTCACCACCCAAGGGTGACCTGTTAGTAATCATTCTTCAGTTGCATCTCCTCCTACCTCTGCCGACTCCAGCACTAATCTGCTTCTGTCTCAAAGGCTTTCCAGACATGTCACATAAGTAGAACTACACAGCATGTGTTCATTTGTACCTGGCCTCTTGCACTTAGCATAATGTTTTAAAGGTTCATTCATGCTGTACCATGAATCAGACCTTCATTCCTTTGTATGGCTTCATAATACTCCCTGGCATGAATGCATGATTTATCTGTTGGAGTTCTTCAACTTAGCTGCTATGAAGACCACCTCAAGGCTTTGCGCAAACTTACAATTTCATTTCCTCAAGTGTATAACTAAAAGACAAATTACTAGGTCATCATAGTCACTCCTATGTTTAACTTTAGAATTGATTTTAAACACATTTGTCTTATTTAATGTTTAAAAATGAAAGACTGCGTTTCTTCAAGCATCCAGTAATTTAAAAAGAATTTCATTTAATTTGGGAGTATATGTTTGCCTGCTTCTCATTAAGAATTTATAGTTTGTAATTTCTATTTCCCATTACAAGTGATGGGTTGGAAGACTAGAGATGCCCGTGTAAGAAACTAAAGGGAAAGACAATGGGCGGGAAAGCCGGAGTGAAGGCCATGCGCATGGAGATGACGGAACGCGGCTGCAGTTCTCGTGTCGCCCCCTCCACGCGGGCTCTCCCACTGCACTGAGACTTCTCGATTGGAATCTGCTAGCTGCTGTCTCCTAGCAGGCAGCGCAGGAAAGGCCCGGGAAGTACAGCAACGATTCTCTGGCTAGAAACAAGCAGCGCCCCTACCGCTCACCTGTACAGCCTGAGCTTCACCGCGTCCTCGTGCAGAAGCGGGCAGCCGTTGTGCGTGTACTGCACCTCGTGAGGGAGGAAGTGGCAGTCGAAGACCTGCTCCGCGGAAGAAACGGATAAACGGCTATGAGAACACTGGTGTGGGTTTCATTTTTTCTAGCTCTTGTCTACTGTCTGGAGAAATGGCGGTCTGCTAGTGGGGGGGGGGGTCTGTGTGTCTGTGTGTCTGTCTATCCATGTATCTGTGTATGCCTGTGTGTTCTAAACACCAAAACGACCTCTACTCCAGCCCCATCTGGTTCCCCATCCTGCTTGGACAGCTGTATCTTGTTTGGAGAATATCTAATTTATAAATATCCAAGCAGCTCAAAAAAATAAATTAAGAGATGACTACTTCTCTAAATAATTATTTTCACAGACATACTGCTTTTTATAATGTGGTTCCATTTATCAAAGTTTTATTCTCTCCCTCTGGGGGGTTCTAGCAGTTGGCTATGGTCTTCCTCTGTGTGACAAAAAAATGTGTGCACTAACCCGCCCATGAATGCGCCACGTGTGCTTGATGTAGATACCATTTCTCCTTCTCTCTCTTTTCCAGATAGCATGTTCATATTAAAAATGAAGGCACTGATCGTGGACACCATTCAGTCTCACTGATCAATAATTGTTATTAGTTACGCAATGGCACAGATGGCTGATGAGATGGAGTTCGAAGGACAATTTCCTCTGGTGGGCTATAGTTAGAATTAACTACATCATCTCTCAAAATGATTAAGAAAATTGCTGTTTTATTTTTTTGTTTTTTATTTGAAGAACGCTAATTTTCTCTCACTTTTAAGCCTAGTGGGAATGCTAGTGTTTGAAGAACTTTTTCCGTTCATCCCCTAGGAGCTTCATTCTGTCCAGAGTGAGCTAGTAGTTTTGAGAAAGGCCTTGAGATGTTTACACCCTCACTATACAGATGCTGGTGTCCAGTCCGTTCCTTGGCAGCTTCAAACATTTTCAGACAACACAATACACCCTGAGAAAACATTATCACTGACACAAATTATTCTCTTGTCCCACAGATAGCAGTGGTTCTTTTAATTGACAAGCAGGAAGGCGATAAAGGGAAGTCCTTCCCCCTCTCATTGACAAATAGTTGTGGTAATAAGGAGACAATCTGCTTTGTTAAAAGAAGCATCTGTTTTATGTCTCAGAGTATGTTTTCCTTTTATAAAAGGCGACAACCATAATTGTCCATAAATTTACTAAATAAAACAAAGGAGAGCTAAATCCTTTTCTAATTACTGTCTAGCTTTGTTTTTTCCACTTCAACTGCTTTTCAATTACGATTTATAATTAAATTGTCACACATTCCTAACTCATTACTCACTTTAATGACAGTAAACTGGTTCAAACTAGGGAAATTTTCTTCCCGCTGTATTTCCTGTTCAAAAAGGCCCACTCAGTGCTAAAGCTAGGAGAGTCCACCCAGGAGCCTTCCGACTTTGGTACAGGTGCAAGAAGAGCTACGCCGAGGAGGGCTTGTCCTAAAACACGAGGCAATCACGTCGCTACTGACCTCGCCTAATTGCCTCTTTCAAGGGAGTTATCTAAACAGAAGGTGCTGGCAGGCACCCACCAACATCCCTGTCCAAACATCTAATAGGAAAATGAACCTGTTGATTTGAAAACAAACTTCAGTAATGAAATGAAAACACTAATTGAACAGATGTTAAGCAAAACATTTTCTGTGCAAATCGCACAAAAGTGTTCATTACACAGCAGGATATTGTTAATGCAGTCATCTCGCTAGAAATGGGTTCACATGCCTAGCTTTGGGCATGCTATTAAGTTCTATTAAAGGATAAGGTTTAGATTTGTGTGTGTGTGTGTGTGTGTGTGTGTGTGTGTGCATGTATGCGTGCGCACAGTGCACTTACCATGCTTAATTTCAAAAACTCCATACAAAAATAAATCTCTGGGGAGAGGGTTAAGCCTAGCAGGGTTGAAAGACAAGCTAACACTCCCCCACTCCTGGGCCCAGAGTAGTTGGGAGTCTTATTTTTGTTGAATTTCAGGACTTTAAAAAAAAGAGTCTCACATCTAAATTAATGATCATCGAGCAGTTTGAGAAACAAGGTTCTACTGCAGGATATATTTTTGCCATAGCAAAAGTTTAGCATTTGGCAAAATGGTGATAAAATGTCACATTTTGAGGAGCTCTTCTGCCATGGAATAAATCTTAGAAGACCTCACCACATGCCCATTGGAGAAGATGTTAATCATTTGGGACATTTCCCTTTGGAATACATATGCTGAACACTCAGGAGTGGACTCTGGTGTTTTAAATGAGCGCTAGAAAACTAGAGCATCTGTCTGCACAGGGCATATCCTACTCCAGAACATTCGGAGTCAGCCAGGCATTTTGTTGCTTCGGTTCCATATTATCTTCCTTATAGGCCTTTCTGCCTTAAAATCAGAGACAGTTTAAGATGGAGATGACTTGGAGGTCCAAGCTGGTCCTCAGACCTTGGGACCACACTTTTGTAACTGCTTCCAGTCTTTTGGATCCCTTTTTGGTCCCCAGTGCTCCAGAGCAGCCCAACCAGTTGGAACGATTAAAGCCTCACCACAAGCGTATCACTGAGGCAATTCATTATCGCCCTCACAGTGAGGGTCACGAGTGTTAGGGAGTCACATGCCACCTGGAGTAGGGAAAAGATCACCCTCAGAGCTTGGAACAGGTGGAGCAGACCCTCTCCAAACTGCCTTCTCTGGCCAGGAATTGGTGGAAGGCAGGGCTGTGCTTTGCTCTTGTGGGGGTCCCCACTATATATACTGGGTGCCAGCTTAAAGAACTTCCCCCTGCTGGAGGCAGAAAGTTGGTTTTTTTTTTTCTTTTCCGCAAGGTAATACTACCCAGCCTCACACCTGAGTGCTGAACACCTCTTAAAAAAGATGTTGACTGGGCCCCTGCCTTATCAAAATTTCCAGTCCTCTAGGATCAGGGCTCTTCTTACTGCTCCTCAAAATTCTAAGATTTGCATTCTGTTTTTGATCCCAGACCCTGCAGCTTCAGCCCCGCTGCCCGCTATTGAGCTTACTACCCATCGTGTTTCCTGCACCCTGTTCTCCCTCTTCCTTAATACCCACTTTCAGAGTGCAAGGAACATTGAGAGACAAGCAGGGAAAGGTTGCAGTCACCATACACTTGGGAACACAGTGTCACCAACACCCACTCAATTATTGCATTCCCACACTTCTGGGTACCCATCTGAAACTCTTTAGTGCTTTTAAAGTCTGAAACTGGTAGAGAAAATGTGACAGGAAATTGGAGAGAAGCTTCTGGCTTCTACCACATCAGGAATACTCCTATAAGAGACCATTTTTTACAGAAGTCTGAGGGTTTCAGAATTAGACCATAACTTTAAGGGAGGCAAATAAATGCCAAATAAATCAATGAGTTAGGATCAACCCCACTTTTTGTTCAGAGTCTGCATACTACTTTACCTAACTTTATGAAGTATGTAGCTGCACCCCAATGGAGACAAAATAATTGACGGTTCAGCAATTGGATTGGTGCATTTTTCCAAAAGCAGCTCCAGCTTCTAGAGCTGCACAGTCTACAGACTGGTTTTTTTTGAAAGCTAAGTGAAGCCACAGCAGGAGCAGGTAACAAAACCAGAAGTGACTTTCTACTATGCATACATGAAGCAATATGTAAAAATAGACTTAGAAGGTGACATCTTACATTGCCAAAGAAGTGACCATGGATGCCTTAAATAAGAAGATCCTTGGAGTTTTTTATCAAATGAGAAAATACTTATGCAAGATTGTTGTTTGAAGAACTGTGCATGTTTAGAGTTCTTCACGTCTCGTTTCTGTCCCTTTCTCAAGTGAAGGCCTAAGTGACATTAATACTTTTGCTATTCTTCTGAGGGTCACACGTATGTCATTAAAATGTCTTAAAATTTTGATATGTGATCCAGAGGCACTCTGAGTGTCAGAGATTTGAGGCAGGAATAACCGTATAAAAGCTAATCAGAATAGACCCTATGAGAAATGGCCCACTCCAAACTTTGGAAGGTTACCCCACCCACCATCACCCACCCTGACCCCCAAATGTCATGTCTGTTTGAATCTCAGTCTCTTTCCCTCCCTCCCTCCCTCCCTCCCCCCAGTGCACTCGCTCACTCTCTCACGTTCTCTCTCTCTCTCTCTCTCTCTCTCTCTCTCTCTCTCTCTCTCTCGCACACGCAGAGAATCACACATGACCCACCTGCGGAGTGAGTTTCCCCACCCTCTGGGTTATGGGCTCGTGCATCACAACTTCCACTTTGCAGATGTCTTTCTCTCTGGGGATGGCAAACTTCAGATCCTCTGCAGACAGGAAGGCTGAGCTGCCCTTCCTCACCCTCAGCCCGTGGTTCACGCTGATGAAGGTGGGAGCAGCACTGTCCAGGACCAGCAGCAGCAGCAGGGGGAGCAGGGGCAGCAGGAGCAGCAGGGCTCTGTGCCCACCCCAGCCTGGAGAGCTCATGCCAGCGCCAACTCGCTTCTGGTCACCAGAAAGTCCCTTCCACAAAGGAGGGCGCCTGCTTCCTCGTGGGTGTCACTCACAGGCCAAGGGGCAGGGCCAGGGGTCCCAACAGTATGCCCCCAGATCTTACCATGCCCCTTGCCTTTCAGGCTCAGACAAGGAGGTCTTTCAGGCGATCCCCAGGCTTTTAATAAAAGTCGCTGATGGCTCCTGACAACACCGGCAAGATGAATGTGCCTCGCAAGTGCTTTCCTAATCCTGCGGATGGGAGAAAGGCTTGGAGGAAAGCGACAGACACTGAGGTTTGTGCCACTACTCAAAGAGCACTGCCGTCACAGGAATCTTTCAGCCGGCCTATAATTTCAGCTAAATTAAAAACAAATAAACTAACTCGATCCCAGGCCTATCTGAAAGCAAGACAGCCATTCATTACCCTGTTGCAGCCGCGGCTTCCGGCCCCAGGGGTGACCCCAGTCGGACTGTCATCTGGGTGGTCCCAACACAGAGTGGCGGCCTTCTGGCCCACAGCAAGGGCCAGGCTCTGAGCTCAGCTGCTGAGCTCTTCGCCTCGGCTCCCCCTTTGGTTAAAGGAAGACTATATTCTGCTGTGTGTCAGAGAACTAAGAGTTATTTGCGCACTGCCTGAAAATTAATTCTAAACTTATGCGACCCTACTAAGAACTTAGCTTAACATGTATCACATACCCTGACTTTGCCAATGAAGACACCACAGAAACACTTGATAGGAACTGGGGTAAATATTTCTCTTTTAAGCAAACAAGCACGTTTTTATTTACGTGAGAAAAAGCCCATCCCCCCCAGTTACATCGTTTCAATATACACAGCTAAGACGCTGAGTATGCGCAGGTGCATTTACATTGTCTCTAATGCTAATCACGGCGTACTGTACTCACTTTGGACCAATGGAGGCTTTGTTTCCACTTAACCAACCAGAATTCTGTGATTATTTTCCTGCTCTATAAAAACTGAAAATATTTACTTGAAGCCACATGAGGTTCGTTTTGCCCCCAGAGAACCCTTTAGTGATTTTAGTAAATTTCTCGACATAATCAGCAAGACTGAGATAAATATTCATCATATGATGGCCACGAAGTGCCCTGCAGAACGACATTCCCCCCACGCCGATCCTGCTCTACACACTGGTGGAAGGCAGTATCAGGAATCGAGCGAAGGTGTGTGGACGTGGTCAGGAGGTGCGGGTAGGAGTGGCTGCTCAAAACATGGAGACAATGGCCAAATTCGGGCACCCCTCGTGGTAGCAGAAACCTCACCATGAAAACTGGGAACACTGGAAGTATTCTGAAAAGTTTGAGGAAACTACAGTTGACAGCAGGAAAACTCCGAGTGCGCGCAATTTTTTTTTCTCCGAATGCCTTCAGGGCAGGTTTGGCCTGCTTGAGTTGTGGGGATCGAACCACAGCAACCTGAGCCTGACTGCTTTGAGGAAGCAGCCACTTAAAGAACTGAGCTAAGGGGCAGGCGCGCAATTTTTTAAGTGGTGCATCGGATCAACACCAGGAGGGAAACGAGAAGGGAAGAACAACAGCCGGAAGACAGGAAGATGGAAAACCAGTGGTAGGAGGTATGACGGACAGCGCCCCCTGGACTCACACCAGGGAGAAAACCAAATGAAAGTCTGGATGGGAACCGACTGAAGTGCCGGCGATCTCGGGTCCGTGAGCAGCCTCCGTTCCGCTGCCGCCTTTTCTTTTCCCTCGCAGTTGTGTTCGTTACCTTCAGCATGACTGAGTAAGCTGGGAGCCAACACCTCTAATTAGGGCCACAGTTTATTCAGAAGTGTCGGTATTGGGAGAGAACTGTCACCATATGCGCGTACCACAAGACCCGTGGACCAAGATGTCCCGTGAATTCAGGGTCTGAAATTTATCACAAATGTAACTCATCACAGATACAAATGTATCTCACATTTTATGTGCAACTACTTCGAAGTGTTGGCTTAACTGGGTTACTTCTTTGATTAGTAAATAAATGCGAACTGATTTTAAAAATTCCCTATCATCTACTTCTAATACATAGGGTCTCACTACGCAGCTCGGGCTCGCACTGACCCTCCTATTTCCGCTTGCTCAGCGCTGGGATTACAGGTGTGCAGCACCACCCGGGTCCCGGTCACCGGCTTCACACCCCAGGGGGCAGGGCTGGCATGGCATGTGGTGATCAAGCTTGAACCCCGGTCCCTGTGCTTGCCTAAGCAAGGGCTTAGTCCTCTGAGCTATCGCGCCAGCCCCCGTATCCACTTTTGAAACCTTTCACTTTGGAGTTGATGAGTGACATGTGTTACTTGGGGGGGGGCATCTGCTTTACAGACTGGACTTTTTATGGTGTTAGTCTGAAAATGAAAACTCTCACACACTCCCACTGACCACGATGCCCGCACACATGCTGAATTTATGTTAGCACATGTGTGCAAAACGCACTTCCAGTCGGTGATCTTTCACAACAATGTAAAACCCTTTCCCCGTTTCCGTTTAGTATCTAAAAGCGCACAGTAGAGTAAACCACTCAGGGATGGGGAGGCAATAGGGTAGGTACAGCATCTCCCTAAGCTGGGAGAAAGAGGAAAACTTTCCTTCCTGAGATTTAAATGATTTAACCCATAAAATCAGCAAGGGCCCCGACCCTGCATTTGTGTCTCACTTCCTCTCCTTCCCTGTTTCTTTACTACCTGAATTTTCAGCTTTAGAGACCTTAGGCTCTAACCCTTGAGCCACCTTACTATCTACCCTCACTCCACCGCGATTTCTTTTCTTTGCTCTAAATGCCACCTACGTGCTGATGAATCCCAGACCTTCTCAGTCTCTCCTAGACCTGCCCTTAACTTCATATTCACTTACGCACCTCCACCTGACATCTCCATAGGCAGCTCATTCCCATCTTTTTTCAGCACTGGAATTGAACCCGGAGTGACTCCGCCACCAAGCTACATCCCCAGCCCATTTTATTATGTCATACATACATACATACATACATACACATGCATACATTGATTGGAACTAGGGCCTTTCCACAAAACTACATCCCCAGCCCGTTTTATTACATACATACATACATACATACATACATTCATACATGCATCCATACATTAATTGGAGCTAGGGCCTTTGCACAGAGCTACATCCCCAGTTCATTTTTTCAGTTTTTGCTATGAGATGAGATCTCATTAAGTTGCTAAGCTGTCCAGGCTGGGCTTGAACTTGCAATCCTTTGGCCTCAGTCTCTGGAGCAGCTGGAACTGCAGATGTGCGCCACCATCCTCACTTCAGGCATCTCATTCTTTGTGAAGCCAAAATCAACCCTTTCATCTTCTTTTAGTCTGACCTAGTTAATAGCAACTCTGACTTTTTGGCTGTTTCTGTCTTTGTTTCACTGTCTACATTCAAACCAGCAAAACTCTCTATCAGTTCTTTATGGTCTTCAGACCTAGGGTGACTACTGACAATTCCAGCTCTCTAGCATCCGGAAGTTCCTTCCTCTTGAGAACCAGTGATACAGTTGATGGGCTCCTGAGAGCCCTGATTACATTCACTAATTTCCATTATTCGTTACCCCTTCCTTCACAGAGGTGAAGATTTTAATCTCTTATTCATGGATTTATCCCTGGGCTCTCCAGTGCCTGATATATCAGCAATATTTGCTAAGTGAGTGAGTAAGCTGGGAGCCAGCACCTCTAGTTAGGGCCACAGTTTATTCAGAAGTGTCAGTATTGGGAGAGAACTGTCATCATATGTGCGCACCACCAGCCCCGTGGACCAAGATGTCCCGTGAATTCAGTGTCTGAAACTTATCGCAAAAGGGCAGATTATCTTGAGATACACGCACGAAGATCATTTTCTGTACCTGTATCTTCTCGAGAGGTCTCAAAGTGTGACATTTCCAGAATCAGATTCTTTGAGGCCTTTTGACAAGTCAACTAGTGAGCCACTAGTCCTATGCAGGTGGCGCCTCTAACTGGACATCAAAGTGGAAGAGATTCAGAGACTTCAGAAATCACCAAGACACTGCACTCGGGCTGTCATTCCCATGCAGCCCCGAGCCTCTCTCCAACACAGGTAAGAGAGGCGCCCACAAGAACATGTGAAAGAGGACGCTAGCTGCAGCCTTGCTCACAGTGACAAACCTCCCAGCAGAGCAGACGGCCACCACCAAGGAAACGGTACACTGCAACAGGCATGTTTAGGCCTTACAATATGCTACAGCCTTTGAAATTTGACTCAGAGCACAATTGTTCACTAGGGACATTTGCCAAGATTTTGTGGAATTAAAAAGCAAAATGGAGAAAGAGATACATGTTTTGCTTCCTTTGGTAAATAACAATAAAAGCTGCATCTGTGTATATTTACAGATTTATATGGGGAGGTGAATGTTGTATATCATATAGGCATGGAAAAAGCATGGAGAGAGGAGCCCTGGTCATAATCAAGGATTATCTGAAGGGACAGTGCGTGGTGGGGAGAGAGGGAAAGCAGAGGAAGCAAAGGCGCCGGCGCGCCACACCCACCTCCTGGAATCCATGTCAGCCCTAATCCCCACGTGGAGGGGATCCAGAGGTGATTCTGCGTAAAATGATCAGGTTTATGTGAGATTAGGAAGGTAGAGTTGTCGTAACAGGATCCATTCAGTGAGTGAGGAGCCCTGCTCTCCTCCACCCCCCATTCATGGGAACTAAAGCGACAAAGTGCCCCCCTGCACACCAGAAATAGGGTGTCACTGAGCTCCTTCATCTCAGACTCCCTAGCCTTTAGCACTGTGAGGAATAGATCCCAATACTTAAGTCCCCCAGTCTGTGGAGTTTTTGCTATTAACATCCCAAGCTAAGACAGCACTTTTTTTTTTTTTTACAGAAATACATACTGTTCAAAAATCCAACAGTCCACTACAAAAACCCCATATGTGTATTTGTGTAGAATTACAGGTTTATGTGTGATGTAAGAGAAACTTAAAAGCACATTTGCTTATGTGCAAAGGACTTTTAAAAGTGGGTCTGTAGAGATCTTGAAAATAAGTATTTTTATGAACAAAATGGTTTTACAGATAAAAAAGTATATTAAGTAATTCTCTGACAAAGGCCATTGTAAAGTAAACCTGTCTCAAAAAATAATTTTAAAAAGTAAACTTGTCTCACAGATGAATTATCATTATGTTGTTTAACAGAAAATAAGTTTAAGAATATCATCAGCAGAGCTAGGCATGCTGGCACCAGCCTGCAACCCCAGCAT